AAATCAGCATATTAGAATGATTTCTGAATGATCATGTGAAGACTGAAGTAATGTAAACTGAAGTAATAAAAAATAAAAAACAGTTATTTTAAATTATACAAATATATCACATTATTGTTTTACTGTGTTTTTGATCGAGAAATGCAGCCTTCATGAGCATAAGAGACTTTCAGAATCATTTAAAAAATCTTACTGACCCCAAACCTTTGAACAGTAGTATACATACCAGTATGATGTACTATGAAACATACTATAACTTTCAGAACTCCTGTACCAGAATTAAAATACATTCATTAAACTGCAACTGTATGTAGTTTTAATACTCATTTTACATGCAAATATGTTAGTCAATCATAACAGAGTCTTTAAATGTACTTTGGCTAACGGCCTGTTTAGTTTTAAAGGTCAACTAAATTACAAAAAAATAAGAACTATTATTGGTGCACGAAACCTTGACTAACATTATAAATGGACCTCAGGGATGAAAATCAAGTTTGAAAAAAGTTATGACCCCTTTAAATTCTAGGAAACTATATAGAAATCTGAAATTCTTCTATTAAAAAACACACACATTCCTATTATTAAACAGGTGATGAAAAGGCATGTTTTCATTAGTACCAGTGGTATGGGCTGTAGTTTGTCACTGAGCTGCTGCACTCCTGCTTTGACAGTGTTTAGTGCTTGTGTGAGTCTATCCAGGCCATCTTTAGCTGCATCACAATGCTGCTGCTCCTGCTGCAGGTCATCCTCACATCCCTGTAGCACCTGTCGGACGCTAAAGAATCAAAAAGAGAATTAGAGAACTAACCAATGACAATAAAGTTATGTTACTGAATCATGCCATTGAGAAAATGTAATGGCTTAGAGCATTCAGTCACAATAATAGCATGTCAAGTGATATTGCAGTATTCATACAGCATACAATGTCAGCTCTCACCTTGAGAATTCAGTTTCTCGTGAGTATTTTACATCCTGAAACTGAGTCTGTGATGTATTCCTCTCTTCCTTCAGTTCAAGCAGCATTCTCTCATTTTCTGCCTTCATCTTCTCCAAATGTCCCTGTGTTTCTCCCTGAGAGATAAACCTGTCCACTATTTCCTATTATAAGAGATATCATAAATAAACATAAAGAAGTAATCTATATACATTTAAAACAATGTTAAGGTGGTAAAATGTATGAAATAATAGTCAGAAACTTCATTTTTTAAAAACAGAAATTTATTGAAGCTTTAGACAAAATGTTAAATAAATAAAATAGCTTGTTGATGTGTTTTTGTTGAGTATCATATTTGAAACGTCAGGATTTTACGGCTCATATAGTATGATATAGTGAGAATATGGAGGTCATACTCAAGGAGGAAAAACACCTCAATTTTATTTGGAGGCCCAAACTGAGCAAAAATATGCAATTTGGTGCATTCCTGATATGTATATGGCCAAAAATTAAGAAGAAATTCTAACAGCTTGTGTAAATCCATGAGATATTTATAACAGTATAACAGACTACTCACATAAAATGACATAAATATTAGCTGTCACTCTATTTCTCCCAATAACATGTCTTAGTAAGATGCTATTTAAATGCTTAGTTTTATGATCAAAGCTCTTTAGTTTCAGAACATAATGTAATGCAACACAATAATGATGAACAAACATTCCTCAAAAGCCTGATGGGTCATATTTGATACTCACATTTTAACATGATTTTTCTGAAAAAATAAAAAATGCTGTATGGAAGTACACTTAAGTTGCTTCAGTCTGG